TTGTTCGCGTTGAGATCCTTATAAACCTTGTTGGAAGAAAAAGAATGTTTTTTTTTACTAATGATCATTTACATTTCTATATGTACAACTTCTAATAAGTTGTACTGGATCGAGGACCAACTCGCCGACGTCTCTACTCGATTTTATACGTCGGCGAGTTCAGGCATTGGCGAGTTGAACCATCGGCGACTTGACCATAATTCAGCTATTATACAATATGTCAAAAATGGATTTACAAGAGCATAGTATAGGTCCAGTAAGGTTTTGCTCTTAAGATAACAACAAAGTTTTCATAGAGTGCCTATACAATGTTTAATCTTTTTTACAAAATAATTAATATGACTTTTCCAGTTGAGATTTGAGTCAATGTAAATTCCTAGGTGTCTGATGGAGTTTACCCCTGTTAGTGATTGATTATTGATAAACAATGTAACTGACTTGGGTAGTTTTTGACTTGACTTGAGTATTAACAAGAGGTACAAATCGTTTCCTATTATTCAAATATGAAGTGAACCAATCTTTAACAATACCATGGATACCGTAGAACTCAAGTTTTGTAAGAAGTATCTCATGGTTTACAGTAACAAAAGTTTTACTGAAGTCCAAGGATATTCCATAGGAATACTCATGGTCTTCAATTGCCTTTTGCACTTTATCAATAATACTTAGTACTGCAGGAACAGTCCAGTGATGGGNGATGGTTCAATCAAACTCCCTAAACTAAACATCAGCAACAAATACATTTTCTGTTGAAAGAGAAGAAGAAAAAAAAAAAAACACGACTTAATATGGGCAAAAATAACATCGATGGAAGAAAGTTTTTAGTTTTTCCTCGTGCGATTTGTTAAACTAGGTTGTGAGTACAAATACATAACTGCAATTTATGTGTCATTTTCTTAACTCGGTTTAAAAAAATAAGTAAGAGGAATACTACAATACTAACTTGACTATTATTTTCTATTTATCAATTATTTTTTTGTTCTGAATGGGTGCACAAAAATCGTGTGAAAGGACGTATGGTTATTGGTTACCGAAATTTTTATGTAATAAGTATGTTCTTGGAAACTCAAACGGGAGTGAATTACGAGTTTTATTCACTGGAAAAAACCCAGGATTCTCGTCTGTAGAAGTAATTACTGATTTTTGATGCAGTTAGCCGCTTATGTTTGCATTTTCTACTTCGTGCGTGATGAATTTATGAAGAAAATGCAAAACGAGCGGATAAAGCAAACTCTCAGTAAAAGAATGAATCTACCAATAAAAGACCACAGAATTTGAAAAAAAAATTAGGTGAATACTCCAATACTAAATTGACTATTATTTTTTATTTATTAGTTATGTTTTGTTTCTGAAAATTCGACTTGAACGTGACAAAGTCATTTTACCCGGCGATTCCTAACAGAATACCGCCGATCTCCAGTGAGTGCTGAGTCTTATTGAAAGCACTGTTAAAGCCACCTGAGCTGCTCCAAGGGCGGTAGGCATAGTGATATACCCGAATACCTTTTAATGGCTGCTGTACTGATGTGCTCTTAGATAATAGAGGGATTGAGTTCAATTGTGATAGTTATCCTTCTCATTAAACATTGTTGGTATTTCCTAGCGGATGCGATTGTTGGAGGGGCAGTTGGGAGAGTTGTCTTATGCCTTAAGGCAGGTGCTGTATATCAAAGAAAAAGACAAAGAAGAAAACAGCAGTGAAAGAAAGCAAGAGGTGAGTATTGTCCATATTAATCTCCTCATGGATGCTATGCGTTCTCTTGGTTAGTTGGTGACAGAAGTTTTTTTTGCATGACGCGACCGAACAACGGCCGCGAAGAAGACCATATACACTCTTACAAAGGGGTTAAGTTTCCGTGGTGCTGCGTCGGTGGGGGTAACAAGGTAATTTGGTAATATTAACTAAGTTGAAATTGTAAATTGACAACCATAACGAGTTAAAATGCTGACGTTTCGAGCGTTAGCCCTTCGTCATTCGCTGTGACGAAGAGCTAACCCTCGAAACAATTTGGATGTATTAACAAAGTTTAAATGGTAAATTGGCCACCGTAACGATTACAAAAGCTGACGTTTCGAGCGTTAGCCCTTCGTCGGAGCGAATAGAGGAATTGTGGGTTGTGTGTGCTTTTAAAGGCAGAAAATGGAGCTACGTTATTGGTGGGAACATGGCAACGAGAAAAACACGAATAAATTAGTGGAATGAAAAGCGTTCGTTGATCCCTGTGGGATTTAGACTGCCGGTTTGAAAGATGAGCTTTTGTTCAAGAGTTTTACGGCTTTCCGTGCTACCTAAGTGTAAGGAAAGACCGCAGATTGCCATATGTTGCTTATCTACTTGCCAAATCTAATAGTACAATATTGGTACAATATTGCAATAGTACTTTGCTAAATCTAATAGTACAATATTGGTACAATATTGCAATAGTACTTTGCTAAATCTAATAGTACAATATTGCATATTGGAACAATATTGGCACAATATTGGTACAATATTGCAATAGTACTTTGCCAAATCAGTACCAATATTGCCAAATGATTATTAAAAGCATTTGCAATTGACGTGGGATCTGTTATTTTGATGTCTTTCAAAACAATTCTGTTTATGGCCTGTCTTTCCTCTGATGTTGTTCAGATGATTTGCTCTATCCCCTTCCAGATTCTCTTACATCATTCAAATGTATTGAAAAATAATCATTATAATAACTTCTTTTACTAAATTTAATGAGATGATTTAATACATTTCTGTAAACCTTGAATTTAGTCTGGTAATAAGATAATTTTGTCATAAGGAATTTCAATGAACTTGAATACAGTGAGAGCTACACTGGTACTGTTGATCATCAAGAAGCTACAATAGAAGGATATCTGCAATACTGTGCCTCCTTAGATAGAGCCTTTTAATCACTTATATCCGAAAAATTCAAGAATTTTGTCTTGACAATAGGGTGTACTGCAGTTGCTATCTATTGTAAAGGTAATGTGGGCTTGAAAATATGTGATTCTCATGCAAAGGATATTTATGGTAGAAGCCATCCTCGAGGAACAAGTCATGTGTGCTGCTTGAGGTATCATGACTGAATAGCTTAGTACATTACTTTCAGAGTATACAATCAACAATGATATATTTAAGTTGAAAGGGGTTAAAAAAATTAATAAAGTTCAAAATAGTACCCTTTTTCAGAGTCATGCCTGTGAAACCAGAAAGTTCAATGTGAGTTGTGCTGTGGCTGTCTATTCACTCTGTTACTCCGTAGTGAAATAATGTAGTTATTGGAATTCAAACACAGTTACCTAATGTTATTAAGTATGGCAAAAGATTATATAAGAATTCATCTTTAAACAAGTTTTTACTATCAGATGATTTTTAAAAAACTGTTGATGTTTGTGGAACTGAAGTAAATTTAGATCTTAAAAGTGATTACACTGAAGGAATAATTTTTTGTCTGATTCAGTTGACAGCAAATCAATGCTCGAAAATCTCTTAAGAAATAATGCGTACGGTTTTTGTGTGGTTTTCAGTTTTTTGCATGACATTTTTAAACCCACAAAAAGGTCATTTGAAATATGTGTATTCCCTCTTGGTATTTAATGAAAGTCAAATGCCTCTTATTGAATATACTAAAACTGTAAATAGCACTGCTTCTCTTGTTGTGGCCATCAGCAATATTCAATATTTGGAGATTTTTCTATTAAAAACAATATGAACAATTGAACAGTAATATTGCTTTAATCTACTGATTTCTGACAACTCCCCTTGGGTGAACATTTGGCAACAAACTTAATGACTCGGTTATAAATAAAAAATTCCCTTCTGCTTTCAGTTAAAGGCAAATACATTACCTACTCAGGGTTCGTAAAAGCCTTGAAAGTCCTTGAAGATGCTTGAATTTAAAAATTAAAAACTCAAGGCCTTGAAAGTACTTGAATTTGAGGACTAAGGCTTGACTTTTACAATGCTTTTTCTTTAACAATTTTCAAGTTGAAAATTACAGTACTTTCATGGAAAAGCTGAGAAATGTTAAATAGTTTTAAAATTGCTTACGCAAACCTTTACAAAAGTGGTCCTTTTAATTTTCTAAAACTTGGCCTTCAAAGTAATT